TGTAAGCCATGGCCTCGAGGACGGACCACAATTTATAAGTTATCCAATAGACTGAGATCCGGTCTGCCAGATGGCCATTCAACTGTGGAAAAGAAGTTCGGAACATCAGAGGTTTGTGTCGATTTTGCCTTATGAGCTGAAGCGGAGCCTTGTTGAAGCCATCGCAGAAGCTGGGCGGTGGACACGATGACTCCTCTGAACGAGTTCGGAAGAATATCGTGATGCCAGAGTATACCCTCATTGTTTTGCTTATTGAACGATTCGTCCAGTTAAAATTTAGTCGCCAGTAAACCTAGTTCGTCTGTGACCGTTTTTTGCGTAGTGGCGAAACAAAGTTTTCAAATTTTGACTTACGTTTTGATTTCAACGCTTCTGTGAGTAAATGACCGGTGTGTCTAGAATATGCGGCGCTGAGCTCCAAGTGAGTGCTGTCTTTGCTGATATTAATTTCCTGGTTGCGCAACGGTTTTCGACGAATTACATTGGACCAGGGGCGGTTCCAGTGGGGTGGTTTTGGGGGTTAAACTACGTGTCAGTCAGTGGCGGACCCACGGGGGTGTTTTAATATGGCGCATATGTATGTATAAAATGGTGTCTATGTATTAAAACACTCCCCGTGGGTCCGCCACTGACTGACACGTAGTTTAACCCGCAAAACTCCCCCGCTGGATCCGCCACTGCATTGGACACACGAGCGCACACAAGGGGTGGGTTTTGGAGTTCAAATATTGATATCTTCTTTATTACTTCCGCCAAATAATTTTGGTAGGGTTAATATCAGCACAAAAAGTTCTATCGAGCCACATTTAGGGTTTTGGCATAGCTAGATTATTGATATTCCACACTTATGTGCACGGAACGACCTCGGCCTATTTCTGATTAAATCCTGCAGTACGGAATTTATTTATTTATTTTTATTAAAATTCTTTTTTTTTAATTTTTTATTACTTTTGAAAGTTGAGCGAATCTTGTGTTTGTATAACGTTTTATTAAAAAAGTAATTTTTTAGCTAAAAATACAACCGATCCAATGATCGAATTTTCAGCCAAAATACGGGACGACCCTTGAACTACCATCTTCCCGATAAAAAAAACAATAATTATTGAAATCGGTTCACGTGGTTCAAAGTTATGCGGTAGCATACATAAAAAAGAAAAAAAATTCCAAAGAATTGATAACCTCAAACTTTATTTGAAGTCGATTAAAAATGTTTGAATCCTTTGTTAATTTTATGTAAATAAAGTGCAATTTATGAAACTTTATCCGAAACGAATTTTCTGTATATTCTGGTGATATAACTTTAGAAGTATACATTTTTAAAATTTTTACTGAAAATATACCGAATTATGACTGCGATAAAAAATAAATTGTACGTTTTTTGAGCAAAACTTTTTCGTCGCAAAATGGAAACTTTCAAATATCATGGTAAATAGTACACGTAGTATTGGAAAATGCATTAGGCGTTGAGAATAATATGTGCTACTCATTGAAAATAAACTGTAACAATTTGAAATCTGTCACTCGTAATTATTAAAAATGTAATATTTAAAGTTCTTTTAATTAAAGATTAAAATAAGACCTTTTAAAGCTGCGTGCCTTTGAAAATATTGAAAATATAACAAATATTGCCTGAATAGGTCTTTGCGTGAATGGCTTCAAAATTTCCGTTTTTTTTTTGATGGCACACAGACAGACTAAAACATAACAGGTTGGCATTAAGCGTGATCGTTAGATAACATTCTTCACAAAGTTCGTGGAAAATGCTAAATACATAAATATTTTTTGTCTAAGATACGGCCATGAATATATACATATGTGTGTATGTAAGGATTTTCAGAAATTTGGGCAGTGCGGTATTTACTCCCAAATTAGATTTTCAATGGATCTTAAGCGAAAATTAGTTTTTCGTTCAAATTTTTGAAAACTGGGCGTGGCCCGCCCACTTATGGCAAATGTTTGTATCTCGAAAACCACTTCACCAATCTGTACCAAATGATATACAGATTGCGCCTGACCTTCTTAAATACTGTCTCCCTCTAGAAGTTTCGCTAACATTGAATTTAAAAAAATTATCGTTTTTTACTTATAACTCTTTAAGCATTTGAGAAAAATTAATCACACAAGAATTTAATGTTTCCTCAGTAGATTTCAAACAATTTGATTTAAAATTTATTTTTGTGCATTCAATTAAAAAATTTACGTTTTTTTAGCTTTGAACCGCACGGTTCCGGAGATATGCCCATATGTATGTATTGGCCTTTTTATGGAATTTTCATATCGCTAGCTTAGAGTGAAAAGTTGCTAAGTCCGCTTTTTATGAAAACTCCTATTTTGATACAGGAGGCTAGAGAAATTAAAAATGCATCGTTTTGAAAAGAATAAAGATCCTTGTTTTATGTTTGCTTGTTTATATTCAATGAGAGAAAAACCCATCCCAGATCAAAAAAAAAAGCCTCCGAAATTTTGATAAATCCAAAATAGTACAAAATATTTTAATAAAGATCGAATGCGAGATACTTGAAGAAAATGGCTTTAAGAGGTCTTTTTCGTTTCCTGCACTTTTCACTTTAAGGTAGCGATATCTGATACGCAAAAAGCATTTGAAAAATTCCAAGTCAACGGAATGCAAACAAAAAAAGTTTAGAAACCAATTTTTGATCGCAGTCATATGTGTGTATATATGTATGACGTGCTTACGTGTAGGACGTGCTTAAGCCCAAATTTAGCGACCTAAGGATCCACGGTTCATTACCGTGGAAATTGTTTTAAAAACATATTTTCAGATCAGATCAGTATAAATTTCCATAGGTGGTAAAAATTTATTACGAACTCGTTTCACTCCGACATTGTGAAGGGCCATAAAAGATTCAGGATGATGATCGTCTGGTAAAAAGATCTTTCGATGGGTGGACAGCGAAAACAAAGCTGCTCACGAACATAATGTAAGGACCAAGCGCAGGAATACCTGTCTGCAGTTGGAATGAACAACTGATGTAAGTTTGTAAAAGAGTGAGGAAATTAGTGCAGTTTTTAGTCCCAAAACTGACAAATGGTTATGGCGCCAAATAAGAAGAAGGTCAATGGACGAATACAGCAGTGTAATTTTACACCCAACACTTAATTACTGTTTGCGCGCCATGTAAAAAATTTTAATTAAAACTTGACTTTAATATTTATAAGTCATGTAATGTTTTATGAATTGGAAATATACCGATATCGTATGATACTGTGTAGTATTCAAAAATACAGTGCACTACGGAAACAAGTAAACAAATACATATTTACATATTCACGTGTGTGGTGTCAAATCGCAAGCAGTAGAGCTTACAGTGTATACATACATAAATTCAGCGTTCACCTTTTCGCCGTATTTGGGCCCTGCCTTCTAAATGTTTGTAGGTACATATTTGCATATGCATATTCTCTGTTAGTAGATACTTATTTGAATAGTTAATTTTTTTCTATTTTCAAATGACTTTTGTGCAGCACTTGAAATTGCGAGTATATACGAAAGCAAATACGGAATTGCGAATGACCTTTGTTCACCTGCAAGTGGGGCTTTTGAAATATTAATAACTTTGAAATATTAATCCTTTAGTGTTGTGCTAATTGTGGGAGCAGCCGAGTGTGTTTTTGTTGAGCTGTGCTTTTACTTTGAGGTGTTCTAGCTTGTTAGAGTTGATATTTAAAATAAAAATAAAAAAATCTTTCAATTGAAATTAGTTATTAGTTTGAGTATGAGATAGCGTGTTAATAACTTTGAAATATTAATCCTTTAGTGTTGTGCTAATTGTGAGAGCATCCGAGTGTGTTTTTGTTCAGCCGTGCTTTTACTTTGAGGTGTTCTAGCTTGTTAGTGTTGATATTTAAAATAAAATAAAATCTTCCATTTGAAATTAGTTATTATTTTGAGTTTGTGATAGCGTGCAAAGTGGAAAATTACACAAATTACGGAAGTAAAAAAATTTCTTCTACTGCATATTTTGTAGAAATATTGAGTTACATGCACTTTTATAATTTTTGAGCGCACCTGTAAGTGTTTAGTGATTTTAAATGCGGGCATACATACCCAGTAGAACTTGGGAGTATCGTACGATTGCTCGGTGAGTACTCCCTTGGGAGTATACGAATACTCCCCATCGCTCCCTATGCTTCTGTGTATAAGCATGTAATTTTGTATACTCCCTT